TGGTATCTATCTCATGCGTGCATCAGTGTGAATGGTTGGGACTCTCTGTGGCAGTTTTCTGCATACTTTTGTTCTCAAAGATTTGGATATTCTCTTTACTTTTAGACTCAGGCATCTGCAGCCTGGATATGAACCTAGTTTATACACAAATTCATGGGATTGCTCACTTATCTCAGCTACCTCTGTACCTTTTTTATGTTCCTAGGGGGCCTTTTCCTGGTTTTCCTACTAGTAATTGGGACTTTAGTTACCTTGCTCTGATGTGCACTTCGCATGACTGTGTCTGTCTCCTTTCCAAGCAATGAGAGAGTGTGAAACAAAAGACCAACAGTAATGCTTGCTTCCCATACTATTGGGATCAGAGATCCTGTATTCAAAGAGAAGTGTTCTGCTTGTATCCCATTGTACATGCATTGTTGGCACTGGTGCTGCAGGATTGCCTAGGCACTGGGACAAAAAAGAAAATTAAAAAAGAAAAAAAAGAATTTCCCCACTCACCGTGACCTGAACAGTACTGTATTTCACTTCTCAGGACAGAAATGCGTAGCTTCCCTTAGAGCTCTGTCTGTCCGCTGTCAATATGAAGTTCTGGGTTTCAGGCTTCTTTTGAGTACAGGCTAAGGGAAACCAGAAGATTAAAATAATAATAATAGTAAACAAATATGCTTGTTAGGTGGTACTTCAATATAAATTCTCCTTAAGTATTTCATTGTGTATCTACAAAATAAAAAAAATATATATAAAACCACTGCCACAGTTTTATTGCCAATAAAGTTAAGAATCATTCCTTAATATTTCAGTAACTATTTAAATTTCCTTAATCATCTCATGGTATTTTCAGTAGGTTCATGCTAAATAAGATCACCAGGCTAACCCATACTCCCACACCCCTCCCCTCTAGAAACCTCAGTTTGTTTCTCAGAGTCCATAGTCTCTCATGGTTTGTCTCCCTCTCTGATTCCCCTCCCCCACTTCATTTTTCCCTTCCTACTATCTTTTTTTTTTTTAACATATAATGTATTATTTGTTTCAGAGGTACAGGTCTGTGGTTCATCAGTCTTACACAATTCACAGCACTCACTATAGCATATACCCTCCCCAA